GCAACAACGGCTGCATCAAATGCCCCGGCATAGCCCTTGAAGTCTCCAAAGCTGTACTCCTGATCAATCTCTGCGTTCAGGTCGATGTCGTCTCGGCGTCCGAGATGGCGAGCTACTATACTGCGGACCTTCTCACGATGAGCGGTAAATGTTGCGACGTCCACGTCCGGCTTGAGCTGTACGATGTATCGGCCCGCGATCGAATCTTCGGTTGAGCGAGTTGAAAGAGGTGCCGCATGAGCAAGAAACGATGCCGCAGCTACAGCAAGAGATAGAGCACGGATGAAGCACCGCATCTTGAAAGACAGAAGGAGGGGTAGTATTGCCTGGAAGATGAGATTGATGGAGATAATTTAGGACTTATTGCAACGCTTTCGCATACTTATAGCGATCCAGGATACCAAGCTCGACTTGCTCCATCGCACACCCTCGACCCAGCCTACTACCGGCGGAAGAATCGAAATCCCATATACCCCCAGAACATGTCCAATAACGACAATGTGAGAAGCAAGATGCCTGGCCCCCAGGCGCTTGCGGATGTCGCCCGGCTGACGTGCGCAGAGACTATCCTCGTATGTACTCCACACAGTCCACTGAGAACTGGTCCATCTGCCCGCTCCTGCCTCTTCTTCGCGCGATCCGATAGTTCATGCAGATGTCCTGCGATGCAATGCAGGGGCCGGATGCCCTGCGCTGCACGCGCGTGGCGAGGCAGACTGGGCATGGTTTGTCGTTACGGTCTTGGGAACTTCAGATTTGCGTTACAACGTCAGAATAAATCTGTGATGTAAGAGTACAACAAAACCAACAGCAACAACGGGCATTGTCGTTGACTGTGACACAATGAGAGAGCGGCTTCGTGATCGCGTTCCGGCCACGTGCCGCCCGCGGTGGGGCAATGTCTCAACCGCGCCGCAATTCATCATCGACTAGACTCAATCCCCGGAACTACTGTGCCTCATACACGTTTTGCTGCACGCACTCCGAGATCGGGAAAGCTTAAGTAAACTGGCGATACGACGTGGCGAAATACTGCTACCTGCGTCCACCTCTACCCGCCGGGTACCTCACTAATCACGGCCGCTCTTCGGGGAAGAGGTATCACTCATTGCATTATCATATATACCAGCTATTAAAATGACTCTACTACCCAGTAACGTCTCATCCTTCACCCCCGGGCTTGCTCGAACCCGACTCGCGTAGCCACTTTGGCCAAGCAACTCTCTCCCAGCAAATCACTCCTCCGGATCGCGACCTCCACGCTTCTTCATCTCCTCAAGATATTCCTCCTCGGTCTCGAGATCAAATGGCAAAGGCCTGGTGATAGGATGGATCGAAGCACCGTGGTCTTCGAGTTGCTTGAGACGCTTCATCGTGGCGGGCTTGGTGCGATTGACGCTGTAAAGCTTGACGCGGCTACAGTAACGTTAGCCTTCTGCCATCTAGCGTGCAAGAGCATTCAGAAAGCTACTTACTGGCATGAGGATGTCACGTGGAGATCCCAGTTCCATGCACTTCGCACGAAGGTAGGTTGTGTCTGCGAATGAAGTCAGCACATGTCGTCCGGTAGTCACAGCAAGACTTTGCCACGCCATATCAAGATAACCACGATGTAAGATGTACGGGGCCTTCACAACGGGAGTCGAAGTTTGCTTACATTCAAGGCGTCATCCCAGCAACGCACGCAGAATTCACTGTGCAACGTTAGCATTTGTCGCAGAACTACCGACAACAGTAGACTTACAGCCATCCCTCAGCATCGACTGGAATATCGACCCACCACGTGCGCCAGGCATGGTAGTACTTCTTACTCAGGTTCTCGTATGGCACCTCATACCAAACACCGCCACCATCGTTGCTGACTTCAACACGTTCCGGCCAGCCACTTCCACTGTATGCCCAGCCAGTCATGCGGATCTTCCCATCGTGTACAATGACGTCTTTGTCGACAGGCGTCATGATAGCACTCGCAACAGGCATCGTCTGGATACTGAAACCGTTGCTGTATGTGACGTTTTGCTTGCCGTTCTGCGGGGTATAGTAGAGATACTCCTTCATTTGAACGGGAGCCAGAGACGGCTGGTCGATGACGTTGATGCGAGTGAGCCATTTACAGCTTCTGGCGCCGATGTAGCCCATTACGACGGTACGGAGTGGGAAGCCATGGATGGCTGGTAAGGGCTCTCCGTTCATCTCCCACGCCAGCATTACCTCGTTGATCTTCACCTTGCGAGTCGGTACTGATACAGCGTAGTTGTATACGTGACCCTTCTTGAAGTAGGTGTCGGCGCCAAAGAACTCGACGTGCTTTCCTTCCGGCTTCAGTCCACAGTACTTAAGCACCTTCTTGAGACTGACGCCTACGTAGCGGGCCGTGCCGATGGCACCTTCTCCCCACGGTGCATTGATGAGTTCATCTCCGTCTCCAGGGTAGTCGTGAATCTGCTCAATACGTCGCGTACCACTGCACTGAAGGGTAACGCAGGTCTCCATGCGTGGGAAGATGCTCTCGTCTTGTAATTCCTTCAACGTGATCTTCTTTGGCTTGTCGACGAGACCCTCGACTTCGAAGAAGTACTTCTCCGGGTCGATCTCAGGTATGCCACCGTGATTTCTCACAAAGTGGTCTTTGTTGTTGGTTATCTCGGTTTCGACAAGGCGCTTGCGCTCCGGCTCTCCGTTGTAAGGGAATTGCAGTACATGGACCATGTCGTCGCTCTTCTCTTTCTTGACGTGTTCCCACGAATCAGCCGGCATGTCTTTCAGCGTCTTGCCCATCGCGTAATGGTAGTGTTTCCATCGCACACCTTCGAGGACGGGGTTCGTGTCCGGCAACGGCTTCAATTGGAATTCAGGAGGTACGGGAAAGTCATATTTCGCCAGGATCTCCGCCGCCTGCTTTTTCTTTTCTGGGTATCGCTCCCACTCGATGTATCCTTTCCATCCTTCTCGCTCTTCTGGAAAATTGGGCTCTTCAGCTGTCAAGAGCTCGAATGGCTTTGCGTTGGGTTCAGCAGGCGCCATGGTCGGAGTGTGGAGTTGGGGAAGTTTGATCTAGCATGAGGCTCGGGATGCATCCGCCTACAAATGCGCGCGACTGTCGCATTGTGGAGTGGACGCGCCAGCCCATGTGCGTTATGTCATGACCTCAGGGTGACTGATACTTAATCATGGACCATACTGATCTGCCATAACGTGTACTGCAGGCAACCCCTGTACATCGTGGTACCAGCACGTGGTCGACCTGGATCCGCGAATCAAAATGCCGCAAGCTCCGCAAAAGCGTCAGGAAGAGATACACCACTGCGTCATCATGATGAACGTTGGAGAGCTCCCACACATCCTGGGAGGGTACAACGCGCCTAGAACCAATAATTGTTAATTCCGAAATCCGAGAATGGGCAGGGCAAATGCCGGAGAAAAGATGGAAACGGTGCGACCCGCATACGATTGATGAGTAAGAATGCTAAAGTCTTGAGAATGCTTCTTATTAGTAGTCATTGCTTACAGACATGCTTGGCGTAGTACTCGTGAACCAGACCAGTACTAGTCGGTGATGCAGAGCTGATTACATACAGGCCGCATACGAGAAGTTAGAAGAGGCTCGCTTGTATCGCCGACGATTTTCGGGAGGGCCAGCGCGAATTTTCATCCCAGGGGTCAGGCATACTGCAGACAAAACCGGAAAGCAGCGCGACGACCATCGTTGTTGCAGAGCAAGGGATGGCCAGAGTTGGCATGCACGCATGGAAATGCGCGGCAGTTGCTTCACAGGTTCTGCACGTGTCGCCTCGGCAAGTTGCATAGCGTGCTAACCATTAAGGGCTTGGCCCGCTTCTGCCTGCCGTCATCTCACCGCAGAACACCACGATCTCAGCATCTAAACATCCGTCAGTCTCCGCGCGTCTGCATTCGACAAGGCTGATCAACGAGGGAACCGCGACAACATCTCTCGAAGTCCCAACGTAGATCACCAGGATATCTCTCAGCTTTCGCGATGGCGGACGCGGAGCTAGTAGCGCAATGGAGTGTACTCCTATGGAATTGCTGCTACCTCAGCTGTAGGCATTACGCCGCCTCATTCCAACCAAGGATAGGATTTAGACCCGTCTGTACCAATGCGCATCACTTATAAGTCAAAGCCAAACACCTGCAAGCCAGAGGAGCGGACTATCTATTGCTCCTTCTCACGCGCTCCACGTCCTCATTATCTGATCGAAGAAGTCTCAGCGAATAGCGTTGCAAGTCACGTTCCTTCCGAGGAAGGATCAAACATCGAACGAACGCGATTCGATATGCCATCGGAAGACGAGAACTTTCCCCACGTGGCGGCGCCATCAAGGGCCGCCCTTACAATCACGGCCCGCGTCCTTCGGTTCCAGAGTCCAATATCATTGACTGGCCGACATGCGACCTCTAGGAAGGCGCGCGATATGGAGTAGCATCAAACACGTTCAGCTGGATGTCGAACGAACACCATAGCCGGGGCTATGGGCTCGTATTGCTGGAACGTGTTCAGTCCCAACTGTACGAGTAAAAGCTATGAAACACGAGATCAAGGGATCGCCCAATACATCGAAGGAGCCGTATCAGCTAAACTCCAGATGGAGATTCGTAACTCGCATCTGGCGAACGGAAGGACCATGTATGCATATCTCCGTGAGGACATTTGGACGATCTGGCCAATCGCAATTTTCGATCTGGATTTCTACGCCGCATAAATGCAGATATGGTTCATACTGGGTAAAAGGACGGCGACATATGGCTTGGAGGATGGCAAGCGCGGGTTACGTGTCTGCCCAGAGAGACTATAGGAGGCACACCATGATCGATAGGGGAAGCCCAGTTCACCCGGCAATAGACTGCTACATCTCGGCTTGCTCAACACGTCTTAAACGGTCATATTCATCGGTCACCCTCAACCCTAGTCTTCTCCCCCGCATCTTCGCCTCTCATCTTCACGTTGTGTTGTCTATACCTTTAGAGTAACAATGGTCAACATGGTAGCCAATGCCCAGAGCACGCTGTTGCAGAAAGCTAGAGACTCTGCATCTTTCGACACGTTCCAGCTGACGTGCATACTATGGGGAAGGTGAGTACAATCTGTGAGCCTATGTAACATCCTCGCTGACCCATCTGCAGTGAGAAAGTTGTCAAGGAGCGACGGGCCGCCTTCAACCGAGTTGAGAAAGCAATCGGCACCAACGACAATGCAAAGCTTCCTCGATGCTACGCGCAGACCTCACGCGAGGATCTATTCGAGCAAGGTCTTGAGATGGGAAAAGCGTGTCTCGATGATATGCTCAAGCATGACCATGAGCACTTTGTGTGGATTACGCCGCGATACAACCTCATGAACGCCAGGTATGTTGAGGTAGTCAGGAGAGTCTTCCACAACCGATAAACTGACTCTCAATAGCCCCTTCGGCCACAAAGCCATCCTCTTCGAGCCTGGCATGGAGCACAACGGTACTGAGGAACAAAAGGCAAAGTGGCTTCCGCTTGCTCGATCCGGTAAAATACTTGGTACATACGCACAAACCGAGCTTGGTCATGGTTCATTCGTACGAGGTATCGAAACGACCGCCACCTTCGACCCCAATCGCGATGAGTTCGTCGTTCACTCGCCAACAATCTCGTCGACAAAGTTCTGGCCTGCAGGGCTAGGCTTCTCGACCACACACGGCACAGTCATGGCTCGACTGATTGTTGGCGATCAGGACCACGGCCCACATATATTTCTTGTACGACTTCGCTCAGTCGAGGACGGCACACCAATGCCAGGTGTGAAGATGGGCGATGTCGGCTTAAAGCTTGGGTAAGTAAGGAGATCGCAGAAGGCGTCAGAATTCAGTCTCTGACCATGATCTAGCTACAACGAAGCAGACAATGGCTTCGCCTCTTTCGATAACGTTCGTATCTCTCGATCGCAGATGCTCATGGCTCATAGCCAGCTCACATCCGATGGCACATTCACCAAAGATCCCCTCCGCGCTAAGCTCTCATACTCTGTCATGCTGCTCGTCCGCGGCAGGATGCCCAGTGTCTTTACGGTCCAGCTAGCCCAAGCTTTGACGATCGCGACACGATACTCCGTTGTACGACAACAAGGCCTCGGGCCTGCCGACGCGTTTGCCACCGAAGGAAGCATCTTGCACTACAAGCATCAGCACTTCCGTCTGCTGAGCTTGATCGCTAAGACGTACGCCATGTTATTCGGCTCTCGGGCATGCGACGAACAGTATAACAAACTACGGGAGATGCAGAGCAAGAACGATCACTCGCTTCTGCCGGCTGTTCACGCATTGACTGCTGGAATGAAGGCGTATGTCACGTCAGAGGCCGCTGATGGCGCTGAAGATGCGCGCAAGCTGTGCGGGGGCCATGGGTACATGTCTATCTCAGGCTTACCAGACATCGTCGGTGCCTTGGTCGGTGGCGCGACATTCGAGGGTAAGAACTACGTCCTCTGGCAACAACTTGGGCGACATCTCCTCAAGCAACTTGACCGCCTACAAGACGGCGAGCCTATCGAGCCCCACGTCCAGTACCTGACCGATGTCGAAGACCCCAACCTTCCATGCTGCGCATCCGCGACGCAGTTTCTCGACCCTAAAGTACAACTCGGCATCTATCGCGACCGTGCACACCGTATGGTCGTGAAGGCGCATTCGGCGATTCGCGCATCGACCAAGTTGCCAGCGGATGCATGGAATGAGCACATGATGCTGCTCATCTCCGCCTCTCGTGCTCATATCGAGTACTTCATTCTGAAGTCATTCACCGACTTTATCTCGAGCCTGTCTGACTCTACGTGCAACTACCTCCGCATCGTTTTGAACCGTATGCGCTCTCTATACACACTATCGACTATCATAAACCCACGTACCGTCGACGCAGTATCCTTCATCGAAACAGCCGACGAGCGTTCTCCGTATTTCACTTCGGGACAGCTCGACACTATCCGGCATCTTGTCAACGGTTTGCTCGATCAATTACTGCCCGAGGCCGTTGGCCTGACGGATGCGTGGGACTTTTCCGATGCCAGTCTCTGCAGTGCGCTGGGTATGTACGACGGCAATGTATACGAGAACATTATGCGTTGGGTCGAGCAGTTGCCTATCAATCAGAAGGCATGGCAGAATGCCGGGGTACAGCAGGGGTGGAAGAAGTGGGTTGATCCGATTCTCAAAAGGGAGGCGAAGTTGTAGAATGACGTAGCCTGGATGTGTGCTTCATATCGTCGCGATAGTATGCGTGTGACGAGGACAGCAGTGTTGAATGCTGTGAATTGGAATGTTTTGTATTTGCAAGACGGCTACTGCAATACTTTTGCGTGCTCCTATATAGTACAATGCAATAGTCCCAGCGAGCTTGGTACCAATGTAGACTGGTAGACCTCCACTCATGTGTGACGCAACCTCATTGCTCTTCAGCACAAGCTGCTAGCTAGGATCTTGTCCCGATGCTTCTGTTCAGCTGATCGCTCTGGAGGTCATTCAAATCTCTGTCTGATAGAATTTGGGTCAACTGGCTGATCCAACTCGGCGCATTCAGTGTTTCAACCTTGACCTCGAACACATCATAGCCCTTCACGTTGACCACAACTCTTTTTCCCTCTTTGACAAGTTCCTCCAGGACAGGGAAGATCGGTCGAAGCTTCCTCACAAAAGCTATTATTGGCTGCTCTCTCATCGTCACATAGTGCTTGTGTGGACATTGGAGATATAGAACGACGCGCGCATTTGCTCCTAGTGACAGAAGTTTCCGGAGATTGGCGTTTAGATGGCCAATAATCTCGTCGACGCCGTGGATATAATCGAGACCGACATAGATGTGCTTGACGTGTTGGTACACATCAATGTCCAAGCCCCAATTGTCATCGTGGAGGAAGTTCAAGGCTTCTGAAGCTCGTTCGGGTTCATCAGAGGCGCAGACTATGAAAGTCGATACCTTGTACCACATCTCGCCGATCTCTTTTATGGTATCAAGCGGAACGTATCCGCGCGTGAAGAGATGATTGCAACTGATCTGCCGTAGGTCAGAAAGCCAGTAAAGTTCATAAACGTTTTGGCGCTCGACGGTGTAAGTCTCTCGTGAGAGTAGATGGGCGTACACCATATCGCGTAGTTCCCGTGGTAGTTTGCTCTGCATCATCTCGGACAGTGTCATGCATTCTTGCTTTGCGTGGGTCGCTATGTACGTGTAGAGTTCGTCGTCGAGCTTCTTTGCGGCTTGACCGATTTGCTCTGATTCCGGTTGTCTAGTGCGGGTATCTTCGCTGGGACGGTCGCGGCGTCTGAATTTGTATAGACGATGCTTCTCTTTCAACGAGAGGCCCTGATACAGATGAGTTTCGGAAGTCGCTCGTCGCTCGTCTGCTTCGCGGCGTTCGAGTAGAATGGAAACGTGACGCGTCAGTGCCACTTTTCGCAAAGAGCTATTCAATCAATCAGTAGGATGCTTATCAATCGTCATAGAATTTACTTACCGGTGGACGAAATCCCTATCCATAGTCAAGCTTGACGGGCTGCGCCGCAGAGGTTCCAAAGGTGTCGCAATGTGGAAAAGGTACGTAAGTGGGAGAGTCTCGGTAAGACTGAGACAATGAAAAGCGTGACACTACGCTCTTGTTTGTTATTGTTCCGATTTCTCCAGGCTCCAGCATCAGCACGTGATCGACCGGGTAGGCGCACTGAAAACTGTCCACAACAAGCTAGCACCTCCGCTTGTAAGACTCAGACCTTCCAAGTCACGTTACCGGAATGACCAATCTCCTTCATTGAACCTCTTCATGCCCGTGAGCCTTGCATGCATCTCCTTGCTGCGTCACCGATCCAGTGCTTGTCTCCCGAGTTTGGAATTAGGATGTGCCTAGTTCTAGTCGTCAACGCGGTGAAGAAGCTCACGAATTTGCAATTGGGAGCAGGAGATGAGCACTTCACGCCATGGCCTAGTTGTTGATGGGAGACTACCGCGCCTTGATATACCTCAGATGTCTCTTCTACAGTACATCTGAGAGCTACTCGTCGTCTTTTGACAGGCGGGTTGTCAGAGTATAGTACCCTTGTATGCAGCAACTGTCGTCTTTGCTCTCCAGTCACCGATGGACAGCGATGATGTATACAGCTAATGGTAATGAGATGTGAGCATCAAATAAGATGATAAAGGTAAGTTGATCCTAAACGCCTTCTCCTAGCCCGTGCGAGGGCAATGGGTATCTATGCAGGCCGTTGGTACACAGAGTAAAATACATTTGAAACCATAAAAACGCCGACTCCCATCAGTCCTTGTCCACTACAGCCACAATACGCTACGAATGTCAGCGCTCGAAGACTGGTAAGGGAACAGCTCTGCGACATTCTCTGGAGCATCTTTTCCATCTAGGCAATCCTCCACCACACGCACAATGCCTTCGAAATCAGACAAGACGCGTTTCGCATACGGCTGACTAAAGGCCAAGTCGTGTAGCATGCCCTTAGCGCGGTGGAAGGCGTCGATGTGGGCATGTGTACGTCCAGCGGAGTTGCGGACGAGAAGAGAGCAAAATACCAGAAGTGCATTCGACAGGGCCGACGTCATGCGATGCCGGAGGCTGAATGGCTGACGAACTTCCCGCATAAAGAAGGTCATTCCTGTGAGGGTGGAACAGGCAAGTTGGCTGAGGTGTTCAGCATGATTGTCGTCGTATTGCAGGGAGATTATGACGGAACGTAGCCCCCAAAGAACGAAATCCGTCTTCTTCTGCTTGATGAACATGTTCAGCAGTGGTACACCTCCCTCATCCCGCTGAGCGTATGATGGCATCCCCAGTACTGGTAAGTCATGATCGAGGTAGTGGGAGATCTGCCGATCAATGATGTCCTGGGTTGTGCTATCCAGACTGCGACCGTCGACAGCATTACTGGCGTAACGCGCCCAGAGTATGACGTAGTGAATGTAGTGATCGATGAAAGGCCTGGGGTCATCACTATCCTCGGTTTTGTAGAGGTTTGCCTATAAAACGTGAGCATGAGGTAGCAGGAGGAAGGGGACACGTTGAATCAGGAGAAAACTGAACACCCTGGAGGCGACATCGACGTCAAGACACCCACTCTGCATGATCATCTTGATGTAGTCTCCAGACCTGTTCAGGGGCAGGAAGGATAGGAGTCGTGGGCTTTACTTACCCTTTGTGAGAGGTCTACAGGTGCTTCGACTTGAATGTCGGTTTCGTGGATTCTGTATGGTCTTCCATACGTCAACGAAATGAATCGGTCTTGGACGAAGATATTCCAGAACGTGCAGATGCGCTCATATGCTTGAACCGTCGTGATGTTCGTCCACGTGGACTGCTGATGTAGGGAGAACTGGAGCGCGAGTGTTGCAGCGGCGCCGATAGTGTTGTAAGCTGGGCCGGGCATGTCTGCATATTGGTAGTAGATGGCCTACAACTATTAGTCTATGCGCATCAAGTTTGGAGCCTTTGGACACGTACCTGGAAAAGGACACACTGTATCAGCGTCAAATCGCCGCATCCGCTTAGTAGCGACCTCTTGTCGACGAGCTCGTCAGCCATCTCGAGCCAGCGCCAGCCCTTACACTTGCCAGTGTCGATGGGTGCGACATTGAGAAGTATGTCGCAGCATGCGAAGATGGTGTAGTTCAGCGCGAGAAACTCGCGATCTTCTGATGGTATGGAGGCGCTTGCTAGCACGTGTTGGCTGCGGTTGCGGAACTCGGGTTCATCTATGCACGGATGAGACAGGTGAATGTCGGTGAAGAAGGAGGCTAGGTACTGTTGGTAATCGGCGGGACTAGGAAAGGGCAGCTTCCTGTTGCCGAATTGTACGAGGTGCGATGGGTCGCCGTTGATAAGGGAGCCAGCGCCTGGAGCGACGGGGTTGGCTGGCTCTAGGGAGTTCTCTGAAAAGAGCGAAGGCTGTCCCATGAAGGCGAGAGCTGGGTTGATGGGGTCAAGCGGCGGAACAGACAACGCGGCGTCACCCCTGAAGGCATCGCTGCCGTTTTCCTCGCGCTCCACACTGCCCATTGGCGTCATGGTCAGGCCTCGGTCGCGCATGAGGGCTTCCATCATAGCCTCGATCCGGGCCATGCGTGCTTCCATGGTCATACCGCGTGTGCTGGCATCGCTCGCTCTCCGCTCGGTACCGTTTTCCGACGGCATCAAGCTCCTTCGTGGTACATTGTGACCGTTGCCGTTGGCGCTGGTATTTGAGGCTTGTGTATGGAGGGCAGGCGTGGGTCGACTGAGGTTCTGCAGGGCTTCGGCGGCCGTCTGGTCTTCAGAGAAGAAGCATCGCTTGCCGTTGTCCATGCACCGTTGGCATGGGTTTTCGCCGGAGCACTGTTGACGTCAGTCGCTGCCTATGATAGCTGTTGATGTTTACATATTCGATTCCTGAATGTGGAAGCGACGCTGTCGCATGAGGAAGTCGCGATGCAGTCGCGAGAGAAGTGGCCGAGGCAGCCAATATACAAAAGAGCGTACATACCTTGAGCTTGGATCGCCTGCATGATACACCTGCGCAATCTGTCAGCCGGCTGATGGCATAACCTCGTCGTCCTGTCGCGCGAGCTGCGTCGAACCACTACGGAACCATCGGAATGCCGCATAGGAAGCTCCAGATGCGCCGAACCAGAGCGAGTGTCGCGACTTACATGCTTTGGGCGCGTACTTTTGGCGGACCTTTTTGCGCTTGGGCGACGACGACCTCCGTTCGACGTCCATGTGCTCCATGGGCGAAGGATGGCTGTTCATGGCGCGATGGAGTTGTTGGAAGAAGGATGGCGCTCCCTCAAGCTACTTCGGAACGCGACCGGGATCCGGGCCTTTAGCGCGTCTCCAGCTTCCGTCCTCCTACAGCCAACGGCATCACTTTCATTCCTCAATTCATCACAAATGTCGTCAAAGGAGATGCGCATTCAAAGCAGCGATTTGCAAGCTACAAGACGTGATACTGTCAAGCTGGAAGTTTTGCAGGATGCCATCGTGGAGGCGAAATGTACGGTAGGGACATTCCAGGCTTCTGACATGTGATCCACGCATTGTCCTGAGGCATGCACCCATCACACGTCTTTCCCCTTCATGCTCACGGCGCCAATCGATACCCCGTCTGTGAAGGACTATGCATACGTATTTTCTGGACCTACCATTGGGCATGAGTCTTATGCCACTAAATTTCACTCTAGATTGTCAAAGCCTCCATCAGACCCAAATGTACAGCATCTACAGCAGCTACGGCAGTAAAGCGTTAGGTCATGTCATCGACGAGCAAGGAGCCAACGGCCGTCACGCAGCAATAAGAGTTTATCTGGACTTGTGCATTATTGACTGTCATTACCGTGTATCGAAGCGGCAGTGAACTGTGACACCCTCACAGTCGTCTATCTCGCTCGTAGCCGTAGTTGACGTATGAGTTGTCAACCTCTGGTCCGCGGTGGGTATTAAAAGAAAGAAACAATGTGATCGAAAGAGTAAACGACTTAAAAAACAAAGAAGGCAAAACTTGCTTGCTCGCTGGAATTGCACGACCGGACATCTCCGATACCCGCGTGAGAGAAAAGTAGATGTGGTAGTCGTGGCTTCGTAAGCCGTAGTGTCGTGTAGTCATGAGTAAGAGCACTTCTGGCCCTTCCCGTCATCCTTCCGGGTATGTCCATGACAGCGAAAGAGATCAGAATCCAGCTTCAGAATAGCACCAGCGAAGAGACCATTTTCTTCATCTCCCGCCTCCACCCTCCAAAACCCTCTTCCAATCCCCATTCACCCATGCATTGCCCAAATCTTCAACGCCAGCCCACAAAGCTTCCTAAGCGCCTTCGTCTCCTTAACCTCCTTATACCTCTTCGCCAGCCCATCAATCTTCCTCACACACTCCTCAATCTGCGCGCGATAATACGACGCATCCATCGTACCCAGCACCTTATCCTCGCCATTCGCAGCATCACCTAGACCCTTGATGCACTCGGTGACAGCGCGGCGGTGACTGTTCTTGGGCTCGGCGTGCCGGAACATGTCGTCCATTTCTGCTTGGAGGACCATGTTGTCGGTGCTGATGTACTGGAGGACCGAGGTGCGTGCGGCGCTGTCGCCGGGCTCGATGGTGATGGATGGGATTGGGGGGTTGGTGGCTTTGGAGGCGGCGTTGGAGGCGGTTGCGGCGATGAGTTTTGAGATGCCGCTTCCGGGTGGTGCGGAGGTAGTGGCGTTGGGGAGCGTGGATTGGGGGGCGTCGGGGTCGAGGCCGGAGGTGGAGGCTCGGCCACGGAAGGACCATCCTCCTGCGGGAGGTGGAACTGCGCCAGGGAGGGAAGAGGCGGTTTGAGATGTAGTGTTCGCCATCGCGTTGGCGTTTGTAGAGCTGGAGCTCTGATAGAGGTCGCTGAACGGCTGCGGCTTGGGCGCAAGAGGGTCGACAAATACCGTCGGGTTATTAAGACGACGAAGGATTTCCTCAATGCACTGAGCCATGCGCATGGTCTGTAAATCCAGATTGTTGGACCTACCCAGT